AGGGCTTACGGTAGAGCTTACAACCTAACGGATCTTGCACGTTGCTTCGAAAATCAAAAAACTCAGTTGATCCTACGGGAACAAAATGTGAACCTTCGGGATTATGTGGGGATTAGAATCCCCACCCCCTCCAGCAGGTAATATGTTCTTAACCCTAAACCCTAAACCCTACTCTAGAAGCCCGAAAATCCCGACGAAAGCCTGTGAACTCCCATAAGAGCATTCTTGGGGAACCCGGAAGATGCTGGTAGGGGACCGAATGCTTGAAGATGAGGGGCTTTAGAGTTAGGGTTTAAACCGGTTTATGAGTTTTTTCGGGCTGATTGCGGTTTACGGCTTATAACGGAACTTATACGGTCTGATTGCAGCTTAAGGCCCTCAGGGTGTGTGTGTTTTTTTTTTAATAGGGTCTTGTTACGGTTTAGGGCTTAGGGTTTGGGGTTATACTTGTGTTGAACTGATGTTGAAGGGATCTAACAGTGTTGGGTGGGGTCTTGTAAGGGCTCATGAATGGTTTAGTGCTTCGGATGAATGGGATTTCACCGTCCATCTTAGCTTCGGTTGTCACGCGAGGCTTTCTAGTACAAAAGTGGGATGCTGGACAGGATGCTACCCTTCATCTACGGAATTGCCCTTAAGTTTGTTACGGTCGGACCGTGAACGCCCCTGACAATTACTCAATAGCCAACCTCGAGTTAAACACACGAAGAAACCCGAAACGCTCAAATTCAGCATGGGTAATCAGCAATACTATTCCCTGCTCTTGTTCTGATCATAAAAACACAAACACAAACAAACACACACACACACACTGACACTGACACACACACACACACACACTGACCCACACACACACACACCCCCAAAACAAAAACTGTTCGACTGATGATGAAGGCCCCTTGGTTGCGCTACAACAAGACCCACTAGATGAGCTTGGCTGCTACATGTTAAGGAACTATGCGGAGCAGTATAGTAAAGGGTCCATAGGACTTGGGTTTACGGTAGGGCTTCAGGGCTTTAGGGTTTAGGGGTTTTAGGGTTGAGGGGTCTAGGGGTTTAGGGGATTGAGGACAATTCGTGCTGCGATTCCCTATACATTATTCTTCAGGGCTGGGGCTGTTGGGTTTCCAACTTTTGGGCTTCTACTATCCTAAACCCTAAACCCCAAACCCTAAACCCTAAACTCCCACACCCGTAAACCCTAAACCCCTAAACCCTAAACCCCTAAACCCTAAAACCCTAAAACCTAAAACCTAAAACCTTAAACCCTGAAGCACGAAACCCTCACAGTAAAAACCGCAAAGATCCTCAGCACAATTGCTTAGGGTCTCGAGGCTAGGAGCTTAGGCCTCAAGAATCTCTGGAACTATCCTCAACAGTTTAGAGTTTAGCCTAAGCCCTAAACCCTAAACCTTAAACCCTAAACCCTAAAAATTAAACCCTAAACCCTAAACCTTAAACCCTAAACCCAAAGCCCTGTTAGAGTTTCGGTAACGGTTTAGGGTTTAGGTAACGGTTAGGGTCTCGGTTTCAGGAAGCTCGAGAAGGATCCTGAAGTGATGGGAGCTTGGGCTTCAGGGTAAGATAAGGTTTAGGGTTTAGGGTTTAGGGTTTAGGGTTTAGGGTTTAGGTTTTTAGGGTTTAGGGTTTAGGGTTAAGTGTTTAGGATTTTAGGGTTTTGGGTTTAGGGTAAGAGGTTCCTTTAAAGGGATCCTTAGGGTTTAGGGATTGGGGTAAGAGGTTCCTTTAAAGGGATCCTTAGGGTTTAGGGTTTAGGGTAAGAGGTTCCTTTAAAGGGATCCTGAGGGTTTAGGGTTTAGGGTAAGGTTCTTCTAAATGGATCCTTAGGGTTTAGGGTTTAGGGTTTTAGGGTTTAGGGTTTAGGGTAAGGTTCCTGTAAAGGGATCCTTAGGGTTTAGGGTTTAGGTTTTTCGGGTTTAGGGCTTAGGGTGAGGTTCCTTTAAAGGGATCCTTAGGGTTTAGGGCTTAGGGTTTAGGTTTTTAGGGTTTAGGGTTGAGGTTCCTTTAAAGGGATCCTTAGGGTTTAGGGTTTAGGGTAAGAGGTTCCTTCAAAGGGATCCTTAGGGTTTAGGGTTTAGGGCAAGGTTCTTCTAAATGGATCCTTAGAGTTTAGGGTTTAGGCTTTTAGGGTTTAGGGTTTAGGGTGATCCTTAGGGTTTAGGGTTTAGGTTTTTAGGGTTTAGGGATTAGGGTTTAGGGTAAGAGGTTCCTTTAAATGGATCCTTAAGGTTTAGGGTTTTAGGGTTTAGGGTTTAGGGTTTAGGGTAAGAGGTTCCTTTGAAGGGATCCGTAGGGTTTAGGGTTTTTAGGGTTGAGGGTTTAGGGTTTAGGGTAAGGTTCCTGTAAAGGGATCCCTAAAGGGTTCTATAAGGGATCTATGATAGGGTTCTATATTCGGGACTTTAATAATCAGAATAGGGTTTTGGTGTCTATTGTTTTATACTTATATCAAGGACCCCTCCCCAAAAAATAGTATAGGTAATTATTTGAGGCCCTTATAGTAGGTTTCAGGGTCTAGGGGTTGAGGGGTCTGGGGTTCTAGTGCCAAGGCTTTGGATCAGAGCCAGTGTTATGTATGGACATGCCTACCACAAACCTCAAACTGCAACTCCTAGTATAGATAGACACCCCCCGCAACACACACACACACACCTAAACAATAACCGCAACATTGGGATATCGAATAGCCTCCTCCTTGAGCTAGCTTGGAAAGTAGGAATAGCCCTCCAAATCCCTCAACCTTACAACGCTGACGGTGGTTTTTGGCTTCCTACACAGAGGCGCTACTGCTGGGAAGACCAGGAAGTTGGAATAATGTAGGGGCCTTAATACTCAGAATAAGGCCTTTGGAGTATATTATACTACAATCATAATAAGGACCCGCCCAAAGCAAATGTATAGGTAATGCTTAAGGCCCCTATAGTAGTCTTATCCTCATACCCTGAAGGTGCAGTATAAGGTATCCTAGCACTACTCCTCCTAAGCCTGTGTTCCAACTTTCTGGGATTCGCTGTAGGCCTTCAGGGGTGTAGGCCCAGGCGGGGGGAGGATGTTGGGTTGAGGGTTAAATTAAAGGGTTGAGGGTCAGAGCTGCGGGTTCTTTAACGTTTACGGCTGTTTCTGCATTCTTTGTATGTGCGCTTTTATTGGTGCTAGCTATGCTAATCCCGGTAGCAATGATACTCGCAACGCTTGTGGCGGAAGTAGGATACCACGACGCATAAAGTGCAAACACTGTCAGCACATGAACACCACCCCAGACCATACCCCTGAGCGATAAAGCAAAAACTGACAGGGTAGTAGTCCGATCATATTGAAACCCCGGCCAGGAGTCCCGAAAGGCATCCCAGGCTTTCTTGAACTCCCACATGGCTTCCTGGGCTCACAAGGAGAGGGACACTGAAACCCTAAACCCCTAAACCTTAAACCCCTAAACCCGAAACCCCTAAATCCAAAACCCTAAACTCCCAAACCCTAAACCCTAAACCTAAAGCCTAAACAGGCCAAGGGCTCCGAGAGTTTGACTACGTTGTCCGATATCCTAGGGGGAAGTAAAGGTCGACCTTTGGGACTACGTAGGGATAAAAAGACCCCAGAAGAAGGTTGAAGGTTGGGTTTAGAGTTTAGGGTTTAAGGGTTTAGGGTTTAGGGGTTGAGGGTTTAGGGTTTGTCGAGTCTGCTACTAAGTGGTAGATTCAGAGTCAGAGTAGGTCCAAGTACAGGTCATGATGCCATTTCTTGTGGTTAACGCTCTTTTCCCTATGACTTAGAATTTACGTCTCCGGTTTCCCGGTGTCATAATCCAACTCCTGGGCTCGGGCTACCGGTGTCTGGCACTGTATCTTGTGGCCTTCGAGGACAGCAAGTTTCGCAAAACCCTAAACCCTAAACCCCTAAACCCTAAACCCCTAAACCCTAAACCCCTAAACCCTAAACCCTAAACCCCTAAACCCTAAACCCTAAACCCCTAAACCTTAAACCCGACCCCCTGCATCTTGGACGTCAGGGGACGAGAAGGCTGGAACTTCAGCAGGTCGTCGTCTGTAAGTTTGGCTACCCATAGGCGCCATAGTAGTTCCTTTTGGGGGTTCATACTGGGTTCAGGGTTTAGGGTTTAGGGTTTAGGGTTTAGGGACTTAGAATTCTATTAAGTAATCCCAAAAAGGAACTACTATGGGGCCTTACCCATAGGCCGACAAGGCGAGCTCCACAGCCGCCGTGGATGGCGGGGGACTGCCATGGTCCTGTACAAGGGACTGGGCTTTGTCATCCCAGCGTAGGTACTGTAGGAACCTGATCAAGAAACCCTGGCCCTATACCCCCAATATATTCGGGCTCATATTAAGAACCCTAATAAAGGCCCAGGGTTTCTTAATCAGGTTCCTACATTAGGGCCGGAGGCTCCTTGTCAGTTGGCGTCGTACGTATCGGAGGTGCCGGAGCTTCGCCTGAACCAGGTGAAGCTCGGTGACTTTCTTAAAGAGGTCCTTGTCTGCCACTGTGAGCTGCATGCGCTTGTTCACCTCCAGGAGCGCAGGAACCTGATCAAGAAACCTCAGCTACTTAGAGTAGTCCTCTAAATTAGGGTCCCTTTTCGGGTGCCCAAAGAAGTACGGAACTCTTATCAAAAGGATCCTTAAAGGGACCCTAACTTAGAGAACAACCCATGCGGATCCTACCATATAGGTTGCAGATGTTGGGCCATGGAATTCCCCAACCCGAGAAAACGGAAACCGACATTTCCAAGCCTTCTTGTGCTGCTCCTGTACGAAACCCTAAACTACCATAATACCTAACACTGTTTAGGGTTTTGGGTTACTTAAGCCCAAAATACGAAGCCTCAAGAGAAGAAGAGCGCTAGTGCTTACTTATTTCCCCCCTGAGCCCCAAAGCCTAAACCCTCGGACCTAAAGGCCCTAAGCCTTAGGCCCTATGCCCCCCCGAAGCCCCTTGGCCCTGAACTCAAACAGCCGAGATGCCACGAGCTCAGGCTTAGCAGCCTCCACGACGAGGTACTGCTTGTGCGCCTCGACAGAGTTAGGGTTTAGGGTTTAGGGCTGGTTTGGGGCTTAGGGTTTAGATTGTTGGGGGTATTCCTTCAGGCTCTTGAAAGGTTCGGGATAAATACGGTCCTAAACCCGAAACCCTAAACCCTGAACCCTAAACCCCTAAACCCAAACCCGAAAAGGGATTTCTTCAAGGCTTATCAGGGACCCCTTTTGGGTTCCACCAGGCAGGGGCCGTGTGATTCTTCCAGTGCTCTTGACCCAAGGCAGAAGGCTTTAGGACTTTAAAAACCCATATTAGGGTTTAGGGTTTAGGGTTTAGGGTTTAGGGGTTTAGGGTTTAGGGTTTAGGGTTTTGGGGTTTTAGGGTTTAGGGTTCCGGGTTTTACTGCGCTTCTTGGGTTTGGCATTACAGCTTTCAAGGTTTCGGGTGTTTGTGTTCATGGCTGTACGGCCCTAAACCCTAAACCCTAAACCCCAAACCCTAAACCCTAAACCCTAAACCCTAAACCCTAAACCCCAAACCCCAAACCCTAAACCCTAAACCGCTCTCGCCTTTTGGGGCCTTCTTGAAGGGCGTTGGGATGCCTGGCAACCCAGAGACTCCAATACCCCTTATACTAAGGAAGATACCTTACATAATACTAGGGTTTAGGGTTTAGGGTTTAGGGTTTAGTGGGGTTCCTACCATAATTTAAGGTATACTCCTTAGTTAAGGGATATTGGAGTCTCTGGGAACTGCTTATGACCAATCCAGGACAAAAGATTCCTTTTCCTTTCAGACGTTCCTGCAAGAGTTCCTTTTCAGAGGTTCCTGGAACAGTTCCGGAAAAAAGGATATTGAGTTTAAGGGTTTAGGTTCTGAAAGTACGCCCGATCGCACCGCGTGCCATACACGGTTCACCCTGAACCCCTAAGCCCAAGCACCCCGACTTAAAGCCCTTAAGTCTAAACCCGCTACCCTAAACCCGTAAAACTTCGAATCGAAATCCTTAATCTAGATGGAATCCTTTTAGAGAGAACCTACAGAACCCCTTTATAAAGCCCTTTTTATGAACTCCTTACGGAACCCTTGAATTAAACTCTGACATAAACCGGATGAAACCCAATGGAACCCTTACCCTAAACCGAAAACCCTAAACCCTAAACCCCAAACCCTAGACCCTAAACCCCAAACCCTAAACCCTAAAGCTTAAAGCCTAAACCCTAAAAGCCCAGACCCTTGAACCCTAAAGCCTAAACCCTAAACCCTTATTAAAATCCTGTAGAGCCCCGAACCTCCAGACCCGCTGCAGAGGCTGACAGCCACTGGGCCTCTGGACTTGCGGCTTTCGGTTCGTTTAGGGTTTTAGGGTTTAGGGTTTAGGGTTTAGGGTTTAGGGTTTTTCAAGCTTGGGATGTGGGTTTTGGGTTTAGGGTTTAGGGCCTAGGGTTTAGGGTTTCCGGGCGTATAGCAGAAGAAAGTCGGAATATCATTATCCTCATGCGCTTGAGGTGAAGTATAGAGGGTCCCAGCACTAATCATCCCAAACCCATGTTCCAACTCTCTAGTGTTCAATCTAAGCTTATATACTTCCCCGATAAGCCAGGGAAATAAAAGGTGACAATTTCAGATTGCTACTAAGTTTAAGGAACCCAACGAGCTTAAAGGTTGGGTATTGGGGAACTAAGTTAAGGGGGTGAGGGCTTGGCAGTTTTCGGGTTTCGGCATTCAGGATTTTCGGTGCGATCAAATTATCGAAGTGTTGAAGAGGGTTCAGGAGGGTTTTCTGGTTCTTCGACGTTTCAAGGGTCTCAATAAGGGCTCCAGATTTGGATTATGTCAGGACTCTACGGGGTTTAAGTGTGTTGGGTGTATGAGGGTCCTACGTTTCAGGGTTCTCTTGCCTGATGCCAATGCAGGCCACATCCCCACAGCGAGGAGTATATCTCTCGCACGTCGATGGCCAGCTTAGAAGGCGACCTTGCCCTAAACCCTAAACCCTAAACCCTAAACCCTAAACCCGTAAACTCCTAAACCCTAAACCCCTAAACCCCTAAACCCTAAACCCTAAACCCTAAACCCAAAGCGCCTTGCCAGGTCTGGCGCTTGTATCGGGCGCTCCTGCAGAGCTTGCTCAGAGGCAGCCTGGGACGACCGAAATCATGCACCCTAAACCCTAAACCCTAAACCCTAAACCTTAAACCCTAAACCCTAAACCCTAAACCTTAAACCTTATAAACCCAAAACCCTAAACCCTAAACCCTAAACCCTAAACCTTAAACCCTATAAACCCTAAACCCTAAACCTTAAACCCTAAACCGTGCCCCGCCCCTTGGCATGGCGAAGGGCACCCTCGTCCATCGACGCACGGTGGGCAAGAAATGATCGACACAGTCTTGGAAGGGTATCAAACTGAGCACCCAAAAGAGCCTAATATAGAGACTTTAATAATTAGAATAGGGTTTTCGGGTATAGTATGCTATCCTTATAATAAGGAGCCTCCAAATAATGTCGGAAATTATTGAGGCTTCTACTCACTGGCCCAAAACTCAAGGAAATAAAAGTTGAAACTTTCAGANNAGAATCGACTACCTTATAAGAATCCCCAAAAGTTGAAAAGTTGAGTTTACAGCCAATAAGTATCAAACTGAGCAGGTATGTGAGAGCTGGCTGCATATTGGGAGTACCCTAAACCCTAAACCCCCTAAACCCTAAACCCCTAAATCCTAAACCTTCCGGCGGTGTATGGAATCCTCGGTGCCTCGGCTTGGAGTCACACGTTGAGGGTTTAGGGTTTAGGGTTTATAGGAGGTTGGGGCTTCCCGCGTCATGAGGACCCATCTGGACATGCCAGGTTGATGCCTTCTTCACCTGCTAAACGATGAGCCTTCCCATGTCGGGGCTGCCTCTTATGCCTCCATGCTCAACACACTCCCTCAACTAAACCCCAAACCCTCCAATCTAAGACACCTATCCCCGAGCCCAAAACCAAAGAATCTCACACCTTAAGATGGCCGCCTCAGAGATCTCCTTTTTGGTGCGAGCCCTCAATATCTTGAGAGATCTAGGGATCTAGGCAGGGCTTTCGGGTTTGCCGTATATGGTTTGGGTTTAGGGTCTAGGGCTTAGGCTTTGGGCTTTGGGGTATGTGACTTGCGGTTTAGACTAAAAGGCAGCTACACGACCGGGTCTTGACGCTTAGAGCGCTTACGCCTTCACCATGTGTTGCGCGCGGAAGGTAGAAAGGGGCAGTTTCTTGGCTTTCGGCTTTCAAGATTCGGGCTGCTAATAAAATTTTCCAAGTGTTGTATAGTACCTAACACGGTTTAGGGTTTAGGCTTTAGGAGGCATGCACTCTCAACTCGATTATCTTGCTTGAGAAGTGGCCGTGTAGCCACTTGCCACCAGGGCAAACTCCGTCTCTGTTTTCTGAAACCTGGGCGTGCGCGCGCACCGTATTCCTAGTGGCTGAGTACCCTAGCCCAAAAAAGGTTAACCTTTTCAATTATGGTAGGATTGTATAAACCCGAAAATGTTAAAGGTTACCTACTCAGCCACTACGTATTATTGCATTGAGGTTTGATCCTTGTGCATCTGGGCAGGCATGTTCCTTGATGCATGCACTGTCTCTTTCTGTCTCGGACTGTACATAGACTACACATGTGTATGTTTATATATATATATATACATAACTTGATATGTACATGTTTGATCGTATACACATATGTGTGCCCGTACATACTTGCATGCATGCGGATAAACTTTCTTCCTTCCTTCCATCCTTCCTTCCACCCGCACGCACATGCACATGATATTTCTGATTGCCTATACATACCTTTTACGCGCCCATGATTGCATCCTGGCATGCGTGCGTCCGTGCACGATGCGGACCCTGCGTGTATGTGTATGCAGTTAGTTTACATGCATTGCCGAACATGTCATGTTTGCCTTGCCCGGGTTTTGGTATCTATTTTACTATAGCTCTAATAATAAGGAGCCCCCAGAATAGTGTAGGTAATTATTAAGGCCCCTGTAGTAATTGTCTTTGCCTTTGCTGAAGCCCACAATCGCCAAAGGACCCTGAACAGTAAACTCTAAACCCCCAAACCCTAAAGGACTACACTCTACTGCGTGTAGGAGCTGAGACAGCGAAACCCAGGCTTCGGGTACGCTTGCAGTACAGCCATTTCAGGTGTCGGGTTTAATTTAGGGGTTTCGGGTCTCGGGTCTAGGAGTTTAAGGCTTCGGGGTCGGTTTCGGAGTGTAGGCTTTAGGGCTTTAGTGCTGTAGGGTTCTTCGCAGGCTCAACTGTCTTTCCTGACAAGGTGAATCAGTCATTGATGAAAGAAAGTTTATGATATTTGCCCAAGACAAACGGAGTGCTAGTACGAGCCACAATATTCGTCGGATACTTGTTACTACACCCTAAACTCTAAACTTCGAACCCAACGCCCCTAAACCCCAAACCCCAGGCCCTAGATCTTCAACCCTTCCAAACAGGATGTCTGAAACGACATGGCACCTTGGGGTTTAGGGTTTACCTATAGTCTCCATTGTAGTTCCTTTTTTTTGGTTTAACCAATTATATATTAAGGGTTTTGGAAGGTATCCCCAAACAGGAACTACAATGGAGACTATAGGTAGTGTCTGCAAAGGCATGGCGCTTGTATTCCAGTCTGCTGATCTTCTCCAACGCCAACTGCGACAGCAAAAGACGTGAGAGCTCATGTGCTGTAGGGTTTAGCGTTTAGGGTTTAGGGTTCAGGGTTAATTTCAAGGATCTTCTAATGAGTTGTACATATCGGGTGGGACAGGGTGTCATAAGGATGTTGTGCTTTTTAAGGTTCACGACAGTTGCGGCCGTGGTGGGTTCGGCCTCGACACTCCAGCACAGTGTAGCTCAATCGGTCATCAAAACAACAACACGACTAGGGTTAAATGTTGGCGAGCTTGCAGCAAAAACACGTCCAAAAGGTATCATGCTGGCAGTGGCGATGCACAAAAGTGTGGGATTTAAAACACCAGCAGCAGCAGCAGCAAAAGCTACGGCAAAACCAATGACAATGACGGCTTCAAGGACCACCACAACAACCTTGACAACGACGACAACAACAGCGACCGTGACGATTGACCCTACTAAGGTTCTACTAATTACTACTACGACTACTTCTACTACTACCACTACTACCACTACTACCACTACTACTACTACTACTACTACTACTACTACTACTACCACTACCACCACGACCACCGCTACTACTACTACTACTACTACTACTACTCCTACTCCTGCTACTGCTACTGCTACTGCTACTGCTACTGCTACTACTACTACTACTACTACTACTACTACTCCTGCTGCTACGACGAC